TAAAACATATTTTTTAAATTTTCATGTAAGTGGAGCCTACCAAGTATTGAAAAATTACCGAAATTTAATCAAAATCATTCTTGGCAATTTTTACATTGGCTGCATGGGGGTGAAGGAAGCAGTAAAGCATGTGAGACTCCAATTTAAAGAAATGCTTTTCTAGTAGTTTCACAATATCACAATAATTTATTTTTTTCATTTATGCTTCTAAGATAAATATATCTGTAATTTACGTGGCTCATTTTGTTTTTAATAATAATCTACCCCAAAGTATTTTGTTGTACTTAAATGGGTCTTTGGAATATTCATCATAGAAACAGACATTGCTCAAAATTTACTTTCAAAGCATGTTATATTTGGGTATTATGCTCAGGTGTGTAGGCATTTATTTATTTCAGTTCAGTTCAGTCCAATCGCTCAGTCGTGTCCAACTGTTTGCAGCTCCATGAATCACAGCATGCCAGGCCTCCCTGTCCATCACCAACTCCTGGAGTCCACCCAAACCCATATCTATTGAGTTGGTGATACCATCCAAACATCTTATCCTCTGTCGTCCCCTTCTCCTCCTGCCCTCAATCTTTCCCAGCATCACGGTCTTTTCAAAATGAGTCAGCTCTTCGCATCAGGTGGCTCTGAGGTTATTGATATTTCTCCTGGCAATCTTGATTCCAACTTGTGCTTCCTCCAGCTCAGCATTTCTCATGATGTACTCTGCATATAAGTTAAATAAGCAAGGTAACAATATACAGCCTTGACGTACTTCTTTTCTTATTTGGAATCAGTTTGTTGCTCCATGTCCAGTTCTAACTGTTGCTTCCTGACCTGTATATTTAATGAACATCTGCTGTGTACCTGATTTTGTGACATAACTCCTGTCTCAAAAATCTGGGGAGTGGGATGGGTGGTGAACCCATCTAAATTACTTATAACCTAATGCAGCCAATGGAGTGATGGAGATGCCCACCTAATCCAGGATCCCAGGGGAGAGAGATGTAACTCAGCATGGAGATTTCCAGAAGGTTTTCAGGAGGAAATTATGTCAGAGCTGTGATCTCACAGGTTCATGGACATTAGAAAGGAAAAGGAGAGGAGAACATGGAAGCAAAAGTATGAGGGCAAGAAAGAACCTGACGTGCAGGGGGAAAGCAGCAGAGTGGAGAGATGAAGGACAGGAAATGGACAGCAAGGTCCTGAAGGTCAGGCCATGTCATCCGCCGTGATGAAAAAGAGCTGATACTATTGAGAGTGGGGACAACATGACATCGTCATATTTGGAAAGAAGTCTGAATCTAAGAAAGAGGAGACAAGAAACAGTAAGGCCAATTACAAGGCAGGTAAAATAGCTCCAGTGAAAGTCATGAAGGCCTTAAATAAAACAGTAATAGCAGGACTGGGAGAGGGGCCTGAAATGAAGACTATTTCAAAAAGACCAGCCTCTGCTATGGGGGAGGAAGGAGAATCCAGGATGATTTCCTAGACTCCAGCTTGTGTGGGAAACCAGCTATGAGGATTTATTTTACAAATGACAAAATTCTCATTTCAAAGTGGCTTGAAAAGACGTGAGACTAAATTAGGAGATTGGAATTGACATATACACACTATTATATAGTGTATATACTATTGACATATACACATATTATATATGTGTGACATATACGGACACTTATACACAATATACATTTATGTCAATATGTATATTGATGTATACACAGTGCCAGTCTATAAAATAGATAACTAATAAGGACCTACTGTATAGCACAGGGAAATCTACTCAATACTCTGTAATGATGTAGATGGTAAAATGATCTGAAAAAGAGTGGATATATGTATACGTGTAACTGACTCGCTTTGCTATATACCTGAAACTAACACATCATTGTAAATCAATTATATGCCAGTAACAATTAATTTAAAGAAAAAAATGAGGCTGAAATGGTCTTGCTTTAGGCATGAAGCTTGCATGGAACACATGAAGCCTTGTCCCTCGGTTCCTCCCCTCCCCCCACTCGGAGTGCAACCCCCAAAGGCCCTGGTCGACCCTCTGCTTCTCTGGGACCCCCGAGCCTCTCCAAAATCCAGCAAGAAGATTTACCCCTGGTCCAGCATGAAGCTTCCACCAATTAACTCTAGCACCATGGCCAATATTTAGGTGCTGTACAAATGGTTAAATCCTTTGAATAGCCCCTTGATATAGGACTCATGACACAGGTTAGTTTTGTATTAGACACAGGTAATACAGAGTGATTTGTTATATGAGATCATGGCACTGATCCTTCTGAGTTGGTGAGCAGAAATTGGCAAGTTCTCTAGATGCCCCAATAAGACACATGTGTGCTATCATGTAAAGCTTAAAAAATATCCAGGGGCCTAGTGTACTGGTGAAGCTTTAGGGGTCCAGGGGTCTGAGTCAGGTTATGATGCTCTTTCTATAGCAACGAATTTATTCTCATAGTTTACCGTCCCCTAGAGGCAAACCCTGAGACAAAGCATATAGTACAGCAAGTTTAAAAAGTGATTCCAGCCGTCATCAATAGGGAAATAGGAAAGTTAAGCCAAACCAGAACATTTTACAAGTAGATTATATTGTGTAAGTGGAACTTAATCCTTTGGGAATTCTAGCAGCCAAAGAGGCCTGACCTCAGCACTGATCCACTTGAGGGGCCAAGGAGCTAGAATGTTTATACAACAGCTTCCATAAGCAACTGGTTAATGAACAACCGTGGAGCTTAATTCCTCAGTACTTCTGGCCTTCACGCAGTCCTGACCACCAAGAAAGCACTCAGTCAAAAGGTACAGGTGCTGGGAGTTAGAGTCAGCCCTGGGAAGGCTGGACTGAGGATGGGGTAACATCTAGACCCCTTATGGCATAGGATCAGCTCATCCATCCCATCACTGCTTCTTCAGGTTGGTGTCTGATCACGACTTCTTTTTTTTTTTTTTGATCATGACTTCTGATGGAAAGATTCTAGTAGAAAGGTTTGTGGAACCAAGTATAGTCCCCAGATACAGTGAGCTTTTACTAGAAGAACTAGACCAATTTATTATATATATATAAGCAATATAGAGGAACTGATAACACTGTCAATCATTTTAATAACCACAAAATACACATTCATCTCAAATGTAACCAGTTAATGTAAACATTAATCCAGTTAAACCATTTTATGAAGTCAGTGTTACACTGATACCAAAATACATTCCAAATAAAAACTACAGACTACAGACACAAAAATCTTTTATAAATTCAGTACCAGCAAAATGAATATGACTAAGTACAACTAAGACACCTGAATTAGAAGAAAATTCTGTCAACCTGATAAAAACCCACAGCCAACATCAGATGTGGGGTAAAAATCTAGATCTATAATTCTCTGGGATTGGGATGGTGCTCGTGCTCCTCACCTCTAATCCGAGTCTTATTGAAAAGACTAGCTAATACAATGTGGTAGGAAGAAGAAATAAATGACATAGAGGCTGGAAAGAAAGAAAGAAAACCGTCTTTACTTTTAGTTTCTTAGGGCTGCCATAACAAATACCACAAGGTAATTTTTGGGAGCTGAAGTCTAAAATCAACCTATTGGCTGTGATCCTTCTGAAACTTCTAGAGGGAGGATCTTTGTCTCTTCCTGTCTTCTGGTGGAGTCTACCAATCTCCAGTATTCCTTGCCTTGCAGCCATTTAACTCCATAATCTGTCCTAATCTTCAGAGGATGTTCTTTTTGTGTGTTTAGTCTATATCTTTGCATGGCCATCTTCTTATAAAGATATCAACCCTATTGGGTTAAGGTCCATCCCAGTGACCTTGTCTTAAATTAATAAAATCTTCAAAGACCCTATTTTTAAACAAGGTCATATTCACAGGTACTAGATGTAAGAACCTCAACATATGATTCGAAGGGAGATGCTCAACCCATAATAAGATGACATGGTTATGTATATAGAAAACTATAAGGAATCTGTGAAAGATCAATTAGAATTAGGAGTCAATTTAGGTAAATCAACAAGATTAGTACACAAAAATTGATACAATTTCTACTTGCAAGGAACACACAATTAGAAAAAGAAGTAAAAAAACACAATCTCATCTATAGTATCATTTAAAGACAAAAAAATATATTTAACTTATGAAATATTTACCTATTTCTCAAAATAGGTAATAGCTTATGAAATATTTACCTATTTCTCAAAATAGGTACAAATCTGTATCCTGAAAACTACCAACCATTGCTGAGAGTAACCAAATATCTAAATAAATGAAGGGACAGGGAACAGAATATGCTCCCAGACTCAGAGCCTTGATATTATTAGGAGGTCAAATCCCCCCAAATTTATCTGTAGATTTAAAGTAGCCCTAATAAAGATTCCAGCATGCTTTTTGGGTAGAATTTGAATGGCTGATTGATTTATCTACAGTCAAAGCAATCTAAAAAAGAAAAAGAACAAACCTGGAGGATTTAGGTTTCTTGATTTCAAGGCTCACTATGAAGCTACAATAGTTTGGATGGCACTGTAGAGACAGAAAAATAGAAATACAGATCCAGGGAACTGAATGAAGAGTTCAGATGTGGACCGACACACACATGCTCAATCGATTATCAATAAGGGTGCCAAGTTAATTCAATGGGGAAAGTAAAGTCTTTTCAACAGTTTTGGAAAATTTGGTATTCAAAGTGGGAGAAAAATGTAATATTTTTCCACTTCCCTCCAAATCCAAATGTTAAGTTGAAATGGATCCTAGACAAAAGCTTAAACGATAAAAATTCCAGAAGAAAACACAGGAGAAAGTTGTATAAATTTAAGTAGGCAAAGATTTCTTTGATAAAATGTAAAAACTTCAAATGGACTTCCCTGGTGACTCAGATGGTAAAGAATCTGCCTGCAATGTGGGATACCTGAGTTCGATCCCTGGGTTGGAAAGATCCCTGGAGGAGGGCATGGCAACCCACTCCAGTATTCTTGCCTGGAGAATCACCATGGACAGAGGAGTCTGGTGAGCTACGGTTCATGGGGTCGCAAAGAGTCAGACACGACTGAGTGACTAAGAACAAAACAAAAGCATAAAAACTTCAAAAACCCTGAAATAAACATGCAATAACTCAGGCTCCAAGTAAAAACACTTTCTTTACTAAAGATACCATTAAGCAACCAAGGAGGCTAACCATGGAATGGTTAGCCTAATGTTCTCAAATAATACTTCTGACAAAAGTCATCTTTCTATAGAGAGAACTCTCACACGCAGCCCAAGTTGGTGGGGGAACAGACACTTGAATCAGTTTTCCAGGGCTGCCATAACCCCAGTAAACAGCCCAAAATACCACAGCCAGGGTGGCTTAGACAACAAAGGTTTATTTTCTCCCAGTTTTGGAGATTAGAAGTCTGAGGTCAAAGCGTGGGTATTTTTGGCTTCTTTTGAGGCCTCTCTCCTTGGCTTACATGTGGCAGCCTTGCCTCCTTGCTGCGTCTTCATGCTATCTTTCCCATCACTGCCTTATTGGTGTCTACATGTGGCAAAACTAACCAAATCATAACCTTAAAATAGACAAATTAACTGTGTATTGCTGTGATACAATGGATTATTTAAATTAAAAATAATCTCCAGTGAACTCTTCTGCTCATCCCATTACAGTTACAGTTATCTCTTTGCTACTAGAATTGCTTTTATCAAGATCAGCAATAACCTCCATGATCCCAAATCCAATGTGTTCTTTATCCAGTTCCTATAGATGCTACCTTACCTCCTTCCTTACTTCTAACAACTGGTATTACATACTTTCCCCAGTTCTCCTGACAACATCTGTATTTATTACACCTCACAAGTCTGGGTCTTCTTAGACCCCTTTTCTCAATTGTTCTTCTCAACCCAAAGTCTACATATTAGAAGTTCTTGGGGCTTCATATTATCTAGGTCTTCCAGAATCTAGCACAGTGCCTGATACACATAGTCAATGTATGTTGAAAGAAGGAGGAAATAAAATACTGAAAATACAAGCCCAGAATATCTCTGTATCAATATAGTATGGTGATTCATGACCTGGAAAAGGGTATCTTTCTAGGATGTTAAGCACGGTACTTGAAAGTGAATTTATTTCTCTGTCTATTTATCCTAAAAATGATTTTGGTCAGCATCAAATTTGGTCAAATCAAATTTATCCATGATGTAGTCCAAATCCTCTTTATGAGCTTTTATGTTATAAAGGGTAATAAACATCCAGTAAGTGACAGAGCTATGATTAGAGCCAGATCATACTGTCTTTACAGCCTATGTACATAATAATGTGTAAGCATTTTTAAAGGAAAAGTTGTAGTTTGTTCTTAAAAACTCAGCTATGTATATTGTTCCAACTAACTACATTTTCCTTGAGAAGAAAAATAGGAAGCATATGACTTTAAACAACATTTAAAATGTGACGTCTAATTTTCTACAGTTTTTAAAAGTTGGGTAGTAATATTTAAATTTATGCATAACAATGGTTGCTTTTTCTTTCAAAATATGACCAATAGTCACCATAGTAACAGATACAGTCTCCTGTATGTGCCTCCTGGTGCTATCAATGTGAATAATCACACAATATTAGATTCCCATAGCAGAATGTCAGGAGATAAGTTTTAATAATTGTAGTACTTTTAATTTACATTTAAATCTAGGAATATTAATATTCATTATTATGAAATAATGATAAAGGAAGTGTTCCCTTTTTTATCTAGATAATATGAATATTAATACAAATATAATTTGCATATGTATAGAAGAACAGACTGACCCATCAATCAATATCCTTTTATACAGCTCCATGGAGTTCAAACATCACAGACAGACTTGTTACTGCAGAACCACCAGCAGAAGCCAAAACAGAAAGTGTCTCTGTCACTTTGTAACTCATATGTATATTAAAAGATAATGACCAAAGGCGGTGTAAAAGTCCTCAATTGTTAAACACTTGAAGAATAATTTGTATAATAGACTTTTTGAAGACATTGAAATTTTGATTATAAGATCTTTATCTTTTCCCTTGGTAGCTTTTTTTCCTTTCTTCTCCTTTTAGATTCCATATTATTTTCCCCCTGCCCTCTGATAAGTTTTTGTTGTAAACATTTGAAAATTTTAGAGTGATGTATACTTTTCCTCTGGCAGGAAAATTTTTAAGACCCAGGTCGGCAAGTCTCTAAGAAATCATGACTACTCTGATGTGATGTTCAGCTAAGTAGAATATTTCTGGACACAGGTTGTTTCCTTTTAAAGGAGAAAAAAAAAAAAAGATGTTTGAAGATGTAATTGTCTCCCTACAAGAAAGACTATGAGAATAGATACTTTTTTCCTGGTAAAAAAGAGGCAAATTGGACACTGAATCAGCAAATGTTGGAAAAAGAATCTTGAAATCAACCAGGTAAACTTTCAGTTTTGCAGCTATAGAAACTGAGGACCAGACAGTTTTTGCTGAGACAAGTTAACTTTTCATTACTGTTAAAGTCACATATCAAATTGTGGTAGGACACAGAACTTCTGATTGTGGGTACTTACCATAGTAACATGATGTTCCACAATAAATTAGTATCATGCACCAGCGTTTGGTACATTGTAAAACAATTTTGAATCTTTCAAAACTACATTACTAATGAAAGCTCTCTCCCAGTTTCAGAAATATAAGATACCTTTCATCTGTGAAGTTTTGTGTCTGATCAACTTCATGAGGTACATTTACACGGAGCAGTGGCTGGAAGGGCCATACCACATCAGCTGCAAACACATCATTTCAGCATCTACAGTGAAAGGAATAAAGAAAATACCATAAACCGCAGTTTTATTTATTTTTATTCAAGGATGCTGCTGCTGCTGCTAAGTCGCATCTGTCGTGTCCAACTCTGTGCGACCCCATAGACGGCAGCCCACCAGGCTCCTTTGTCCCTGGGATTCTCCAGGCAAGAACACTGGAGTGGGTTGCCATTTCCTTCTCCAATGCATGAAAGTGAAAAGCGAAAGTGAAGTCGCTCAGTCATGTCCAACTCTTGGGGACCCCATGGACTGTAGCCCACCAGGCTCCTCCGTCCATGGGATTCTCCAAGCGAGAGTACTGGAGTCGGTTGCCATTGCCTTCTCTGTTATTCAAGTATAGTTGATTTGCGATGTTACATTAGTTTCAGGTGTACAGCACAGTGATTCAGCTTTTTTATAGATCATGTGTTAATCACTCAGTCGTGCTCCCACGACTCTTTGTGACCCCATGGACTGTAGCCACCAGCCTCCTCTGTCCATGGAATTCTCCAGGCAAGAGCGCTCGAGTGGGCTTTCATTCTCTTCTTCAGTGATAAACAAGATTTTTAGGTCATAATAAATAGAATCCATTTTTGTGAACTTAGAGTAATTATATTTTATCTAACCTCATCAAGGAAGTTTTTTCATTACAGTGTTATGAATTAATTTATTATAAGAATAGAATCTCAGCCTGTATGCCTTAATTATTTTTAATTAAGTATAATTGATTTATAATGCTGTGTTAATTTCAGGTGTATAATGAAGTTATTCAGTTATACATTCATAAATATCTATATCTATATTCTTTTTCACATTCTTTCCCCTTATAGGTTATTAAAAATATTGAGTATAGTTCTCTACTTGCTGGTTTTAAAGTAGTGAATTGGTGTTAGACAAGACAAAAAATCATGAAGCGGTATGCTTGGTTCATTCCATGGCCATTTCTTTATTTTTTAAGATATTAACTCAGAGTTGAAGTCTAAGATTTCACATTAAAATTAATTTTCCAAAGCACATGAAATGCTAAGTGAATTGTCATTTTGTAAAATTACTTTACATATGAATCTTCATAAAACAGAGATCCTTCATATCCTATTTTATTTAGATCACTGGCTCTTAAAAGTTCTTTCACACAGGCAGCAACAGGCAGCAATTAAAACCACATCCTTTCACACACATACACATTTTAAATTGTAACACAAACTTTAAAATCTAAAAGTAAAAAAAGCAAAGAATTTTATTTGAAATCATACTTTGATGTCATGAAGAAGATACTCTCATAAAAGTTATTTTCCAAAATGATGACATCTTGTATATAACAGATTGGTTATTAAATAGAGTCTTGTGAACCAACTGTTACATAAGATTTTTCTATTATAAGGAGTTAACTCTGTTTAAACCAGTCAAGCAATGAATATGGGCTGTTTGCCAGGCTTTAGAAATAACCTTGTAATATTGGCATGAGGATTTATTAAAAGGCAGATTCTGCACTGCTTCCCATTTGGAAAGTGTTTACTTGGTCTTTTTTTTTACCTCATCAAATACATAAAATTATATGAATAATTTCACATAGGTGTGAGCTTAGACATTACTACAGCTTGACTCCTGTTTTCCATAATTTAGCTCTTTCGTTTACAAGCTCCCCAACTCTGACTGGCAGCCAAGCCAGAAAATGAACTCCACATGGTTCTAGCCTTTCATTGTATCAAGAGCTGAAGTTCATTCATTTTTTCCTTCCATGAAGATTTATCATGGGTGTAACTACATTTGGCTACTTCATGCTTTTGTTAATTTCACTTACCAGCTATTAAAAGATGAGTTAAACATGGAACTGCACCCACGAAGTGTTAAGTGATGCCGTGGTGAGATGGGGCAGGGGTGGAAAGCACAATTTCTGCCATTGAAGAGTTTATATGGAGGGTACATCAACAAAACTAGAAGATGTAATCATTAATTTGGGGGCAGTGAGGTTACAGATTTGTCCTGGAAAGTTTTGGGGAGGATGAGACTTCCCCTGGTGATGTAACCTGTGGTGGCAAGTAAAGCAGAGGAGAGAGGGAAAGACTTCTTTATTTAGCCAAAAAAATTACTTAGTATTATCTTCATTTTAAGACACCATTAATGATAAAACTCTCTATTGAATTAATAACAGCCTTTTGGAGAGAAAAAAAAAGATGTTAGCTTGAACTTCTGACTTCAGTGTTTGGATCGTGACTGGGCATCTTCATGGCCTTCGGTACTGCTTAAACACTTTCTGTTAGAGGCAGAGAGATGGTTGAATGCAGGGATTTGAGACAGACTTGCCAAGTTCAAGACCCAGCTCTGCTTACGACCACGTGAGTAGTCTTAGGCCAATTGCTTAGCCTCTCTGTTCTTACTGTTTCCCTATGAAAGTGCTAGTCATTCAGTCGTGTTCATCTCTCTGCAACCCCATGTAGCCTGCCAGGTTCCTCTGTCCATGGAATTCTCTAGGCAAAAATCCTGCAGTGAGTAGTCATTCCTTCCAGATCCAGGGATCAAACCCAGGTCTTCCACATTGCAGGCAGATTCTTTACTGTCTGAGCCACCAGGAAAGCCCAGCAAATACTGGTTAATACACCCATCTCAGACAGAGAAAGACAAATGCCACAGGATATCACTTATATGTGGAATCTAAAATATGACACAAATGGACCTATCTAGGAAACAGAAACAGATTCACAGACACAGAAAACATACTTGTGGTTGCCAAGGGCGATGGGGGGTGGGAGAGGGATGGACTGGAAGTTTGAGATTAGCAGATGCAAACTATTATATCTATATAAGATGAATAAACAACAATGTCCTACTGTATTCAACTTCCTGCAATAAACCATAATGTAAAAGAATATGAAAATGAATATATATATACATATATATGAATCACTTTGCTGAATAGCAGAAATTAACACATTGCAAATCAACTATAGCTCAATAAAATAAATTAAAAAATTACAGCCATCTCATATGTTTGTGGTGAGAATTAAGAAGTAAATAAACATGAAGTTTTTTTAAAATAGTGTCTGGCACATAGGAGAGTTCACTATCATTATTTGATAAGTGCAGTATGTTAAATACTGGGAAAAAAGAAGCTAAGAAAAAAAAGTGAAACAGAAGAAGTTCTAGGTTGAGTTATCTGTAACTATGGAGTGAGCATGAGAATAGAAGCAAAGACCAGCACGTACGGGAACTGTGGGGCCTCAGGAGTGTGAGATCTGGAGTGGAAAGAAGAGCAGATGATGCCCACGGAGAAGTCTTTCTCCTGCAGGCAAAGGGGAGGCTCAGATTTTTAGAGTAGCAATCAGGCTGCGATCAGCTTTGTGTTTAAACAGATCAAGCTTGTCTGAGGACAGTTTGCAGGAAGATGGGTGGCCCAGGCAGAGGTCAGTCTTTAGGCACAGATTATGCTGGAAGACAGGTTGCATCAGAGGTGGACACAAACACACATGAGGATGACTGGATGCACCAAGTCAGGGTGAACTCCCTGAGGGCAGTGATCCTGCCTTTTACCCACCTTGTGATTTCTTGGGACCAAAAACATCATCAATGGTTTTGACAGATTACTGTCTTGGCCAAGTTCATGATAACCTCAAGGTCACTGCTAAACGAAACTGTCTTCCATGCAGAACGTTCATCATACCCAAGAAACTAGTAAGTCATCTCACTACCTTTGGTTTTCCTACTTTTGTCCTTCAGAAACTTATTTGAATGCATGTTATAGGTTTCCTTCATCACAAGTTGTCAGAACCAGCGACAGTGTAATGGCGATTTTATGGCAGGGTTTTATCACTAAGAATCAGGGCAACAGACCCTTTGTTTCCTTCAGATGCTTTCAAAAGGTTCATTTCTCATATCTATAGCCACTAAAGAGGGGATTCCATCTAAGACACTGTGATGGTTTCCTTGACTAAATGCCTCCTTCCTGTAGGCTTGGGGCACTGTCCTTTTGATGTGAGACCAAAGTCAGAATGATGTACTGTTTGTTGTTGGCAGTAGAATTTTTTAAGTTACATATTTCTGATTAGAATGGTGTGGAGTTATAAAATAAACCCCCAATGCTTAACAGAAATGGATATTTCGTAAGTTTGAAATGTCTGTTTGAAGTCATTCCACACCTAGCGCTGTGCTTGGTGGTGTGGAGGAATGGGAATGAGAGGTTTAAAGTGCCAGCTCTGGAAGCAGGTACCCGCCTCCCAATTCTGACTTTAATACTCATGCAGGAAACTGGCCTCTGGGCACCAGTGCCGAAGGGAATCTCAGAGACAGAGTTTGGGTGAAGTAGAAAAGAATTAGCTTTATTGCTTTTCCAGGCAAAGGGAAACACAGCAGACTCCTGCCTTTGAAAACTGTTTGTCTCAACCCCAGGGGATTTGGTGAGGAATTTTATAGCAATGGTTTAAGGATGGAGCTGCTGCTAAGATGATAAGATCAGGGTGTGTGCAGGGCCTACACTCCTTTCATCTGGCCTCAGGAGAGTTCTTGATGAGTTTCAAGGTTATCATATTGTGACTTTCTCTCTGGAACATCCTCCAGTTTGTGAGGGTTATAGCTCTGCACAAGAACTCAAAGATACTGTTATGTATATCCTTGAGGACGAACCAGGACCCTGACCCAAGTCTGCACTATTGATTCTTGACTGCTCTTCCCACACCTGTGCATCTTCTCAATTATCTGGTTAGCAACTGTGAGAACGTGCCTTTTGGGACTCAGGTCATGGGTCATGGAGTCTGTTCCTTACAAACAAGAAACAGGGGACAGAAAGGCTTCTTTGCCCAGGAACCCCACAGGGTTCTGCTCGGTTTCACTACTTACAAATATGTGTCTCTGCTCAAGTTACAAAACTTCCTGGGCCTCAGTTTCTCATCTTTAAAAAGAGGATTGTTAATATTTATGCAAAGCATTACACTTAATAATCAGTAGAAGATTCCAATGCAGAGTGCTTCATTGTGGACATTTTGACTAAAAAAAAAAGTAGTGATGTAACAACGAT